GTATATGAGGAGGTGAACATATCCCTGGTGATTCTAGTGAAGGCTCTGTGAATTGCCCATAAGGACCTGAAACTACGTGCAGCCACCGCGTGACAGTGTGCTGTAGTTTTTAAGTCGTGGCTAACTATGACACCTAAGTCCAAGTGAGTCTGAACTGATGGAAGTGTAATTCCCTCTAGTTCATAAGAGCTCGTGCTTGCTTGTCCAATGCGCATGGTTGCACATTTCGCCACATTGATTGGGAGTATCCATTCTGTGGACCACTCTGACAATTTGTTGAGGTCCTCTTGCAACGTGAACGTGTCACTGTTGCCCTTCAGCTCTCTCCAAATTTTTAAGTCACATGCGTATAGGACCATAGGGGAGTCGGTGAGCAGAGATAACTCATTGATATACAAAATAAATAGGAGAGGTCCGAGTACCGTGCCTTGTGGCACTACGCTACGTACTGCTGTTCAAGAGGAGAGTTTCAGGTTGATCCTAAACCTCTGCCTCCTGTCTATGAGGAATTACCTGAGCCAGTTTAGTAAGCCGCCTTTGATACCAGGACTTTCCAACTTCATGAGTAGTCTTTTGTGAGGTACTTTATCAAAGGCTTTGCTGAAGTCTATGAAGACGACGTCAACGGGTCTTCTGTTGTTCCTGGATTTGACCCAGCTTTCTCTTGCAGTGAGAAGATTTGACAGGCATGAGAGGTTCCTTCGGAAGCCATGCTGTGCTCTTGATAATAAGCTTCTATTTTCTAGATATGCCATTATGCTTTTCTTGATGACTCTTTCCAGTGTCTTAATTAAAGTGCTGGTGAGACTGATGGGCCTGTAATTTAAAGGGCTTTGTCTTGATCCTCCTTTGCGGATGGGGTTTACTATGGCGTCTTTCCAGTCACGCGGTAACACTCCATTTAGGAGAGATAGCTTGAAGATCGTAGTCAAAGGGCCGGCTATATGGGCTGATAGCTCCTTGAGAAGCCTTAGGTCTAGATTATCAGGACCCATTGATTTCCCTGCATCTAGTTTTATTAGGCAGTTGAGCACGATGCCTTGGTCGATGTCAACGGAATCTATCCCATGTTCTTCTGATGCAGCCAGAGCTGATCCTATAGGCAGTGATGACTCCTGAGTGAAGACTTGGGAGAAGTAGTTTGCCATTGCTTCTGCTTTTTCTTGATCTTCTTCGATTGTATAATTGTCAATAGTCAGGTTTGGGACACCATTGGATGTTTTATTCTTAGGTTGTGCCTTTGCATTTTGAGCCAGGTGTGCTTCGAATTTCATCCTTGATTGGCGGATTTGTGCAATAGCTTTATTTCTGACAGTGTTATATAATTGCCTGGTCTCAGAAGTCTCAAGTGTGGCAAACAGGTTCAAACATTTGTGTTTACGTCTGAGTGTTTCCGACCCTTTGGGACAGACCAAGGGATGAAAGGTTCAGTTACTTGGGCGTAAAGTTGTTTAAATTGGTTCCATGCGGCTTCTACTTGAGACTCTGGGTTGATAAATAAATAAATTTATTCTCATAGTACAGTACATGAGGGACGCCAGTTTACAGGCATCATCAAATTGTTACAGAAATAGAACCATATAATTCAATCACAATTTACAGGCAGTAGCAAGATATGCTTCACATGTTCGCTGGAGATTATACATACACTTAATAAATGTTAATCCCAGTAGTATAAAACAGCCTTTTCACTTATATACAATCATTTCTGTGCAAAGTTGGAAAAATCTGCTAGATTGTCAGTGAGTGCAACACAACAGGAAATACAGGAGTATTGTCTTCGCATTAACAAAAAAACCAGGTCTTTGGTGGATGGATTATAAGTGCCTGGGAAAAAAATAAAGCTTGAAGTAAATATTCATACATAACTTTGTTGTGTGCAGAGTCCTCGAATCATAGTTCATTGATGTGTTATTTTGAAATCAGTGATGTGTTTATCTCATTTGATCTTCAATGTCATTGTTGGGAGTAAGTACACAAGCTTCGGACGCATTAATTAATGGATTTCTACTGCTTGTGGGTATTTTCTTAGCGTGAGGAAGGTTTATGAAATTCAGCTGTTCCGACAGGAGTTGAGAATATTAACTGCTCAGCAACATTATGGATATAAGTTCATCACATTATCTAAGGAAAGGTGGGTTGCAGTTGGTGAGGGATATATGGTGCCCAACGAGCGTACATCTGTCCATGTGATGTTGTGGTGAGTTATACCTTTTTCATGTTGTCGGTTTATGTCCATTTTATTCCACTTATTGTGTTGGGTAGTAGTTTTACAAACGAGATTTGTTGTCTGTTTGAGGATACGTATCTTAACCGTTAATGTTTTATCTAGAATTATAAATATAGGCAAAAAACAACAGGTGTAGTATTTAAGCTTATACATTAAATGGACCTATAATTTCGGAGGCTCTCAGATAGGAACTAGAACTACTATCGTTTGCAAACTCTTGTAGTTTGTCATTAAGCACCTTTTTGAAGGAGGCCAATGTACTTGCTTGACGTATTTCCATTGGCAGTTTATTCCATATCTGTGCATACCTAATCAAGTAAAACTTTTGCCTGGTGGCTGTTTTACATTGTTCGATGGCTACTGCTCATCTGGAAGTCGAGTGCCATTAGTAGAGGTAAAAACTAAGTGGTTTAGAAGCTTATAGTAAAGTGTCAAGTTTAGTCTCAGGCGTCTTAGCCATAGTGTTTCTAGTCCTAGGGTATCACATCTAGTGGAGTAGTTCGTACCATTTTCAGTTCCGAGTAATTTTAACGTGAAGTACCTCTGCACTCCCTCGACTTTCAATTTGTCCTCTATGCGTATGCTACTATACATGAATGAATCAAATAAAGGACGCACACAAACCTTGTACAACAGAATTCTAGACTCATTTCTGTAGAAGTTCCTGAGTAGAAAGCCGATAAGTCTGCGTGACTTTGACACTTGTTTGGAGATATGTTCAGAAAATGATAAGTTATTTGAATATTTCAGCCCTAGGTCCAGTACAGATTCCAGTCGTTGAAGTGCATGGCCTTGAATTGTCAGGTCAAGTTCTAAATTGTTGCAACCTATGCAGAGCCAGCCACACATTTCGACATTAAATTGGAGTTGCCAGGTGTCACACCATCTATCCATTTTTTCTAATTCTTGCTGTATGGCGTTTACTGTTATTCCAAGATCTGTGTTCTTGCATTTATACGTCACTTTTAAGTCGTCTGCATATAGTATTGGTTTACCTACACTAAAGCATTCACAGATACTGTTTATACATATTATGAATAAGAGTGGGCCTAATACACTTCCCTGGATTACACCACTACTTACTGGTTTAGGCCTTGAGATTATCGAGCCAACTTTCGTTGTCTGACTTCGGCCACAGAGAAGTGATTTTATCCAGCTCAGGAGAGGATCACATATCCCTGGTGAGCATAACCTGCCGACTAGCAGATTATGGGGAACTCTGTCGAAGGCTTTTGTTATATCGAAATATAGTACAATTACTAGTTCTCTGTTGTCCCTACTTCGTGTAACTTCATTGAAAAAGTCTATGTGACAGGTCACACATGATCTTTTTTTAAGAAATCCGTGTTGTGATGGATTGATAAGTTCATGTTCTAGTAAGTTGTCTGACACTTGGTCTTTAACCACTTTCTCCATTATTCGGGATATTACCGGTGTTATATTGATAGGTCTATAGTTGCATACACTGGTTTTGGCCCCTGCTGTGTGCTTAGGTAATATGTATGTGGTTTTCCACACTTCAGGATAAGTTCCAGTTTCCAACGAGAGAGTAAATATTTTAAGTACCAGTTTACTGAGTTGGCTGCTGAGACGATTGCATTTATGTCAGCTTTCCAAACGTTTGGTCGAGATGGGGCTTCGGCCCTTGCTGTGAACTTGAAAGTAAGCACAGCATGGTCACTTCTTCCTAAAGGAGGAAGATGTCGTATGAGATCCACATCCTCACCATAGGAGAACACTAGGTCCAGAGTTGAGGAGGAGTGCTGTGAGTCATAGCGCGTGGGCTTAATGATGTGTTGGACTAGAGCTAACGATATACCAGATTCCAGCAGTTTATAATCAAAGGAGTTGTGTCAGGATGGAGTTGTTAGGCTCGTCCAGTCAACTGTTGGGGCATTGAAGTCGTCAACTACGAGACTTCGACATTTCGAGGTCCAGGAGCCTAGCTGCTCTATCAGGAAGTCATCTGCACTGCAGTCAGGACTGCGGTACATAGCAATGAGGTCAACGTCTTGGCCTATGCATTTAAGTCTGCAGCGTAGAAGTTCGCACGACTCACTTTTGTGAGCGAGTGCTTCGATACTACGCACGGTTAAGCATTTCTTGAGGTAGATGATTACGCCTCCTCCTTTGAGGTTTAGTCGGTCCACCCTATGCACTTCGAAGTTTGGCAGGTTAACTTCGTTGTCAGTTACATCGGTTGTGAGCCATGTGTCTGTGATAATAATTACATCCGGGTTTCCGGAGTCTATCATGTTAACCAGCTCAGTCCGTTTATTTAACAGGCTGCGGGCATTTGTGTAGCAGTTTGGTGCTTCCCCGGCCTACCCACAGAGGTTTCGGGATCATTAAACTGCGAACTTGGACAACCCGAAAACCCTTAATCTTAAGGTTCTTTTCGCCGTTTCGGCGTCGTTCGCTTAATTCTAGGGCCGCAGACTGTCTTTTGACACGGTCTGCTAGGCTTAAGTCGACGCGGACATATCTGCCTGATCCTTTAAGAATATTAGAGTTGCTTAGAATAGCACCCCTCCCTTCTTTAGAGTTTAGTACGACTTTGAGGAGACGTACAGGCTGACTTACTGTAGGGTCAGGCTTTCGGCCTATTCTATATACGCTATGTATAGTAATATGCATTTTATCAACAAACCTAAGGTATTTACGGTTATTTACTCAGGTTATTTATTCGAGGCCATTTGCTTGCTGCTGTTAATCGTTTTCACTTCCGAAGTTACAGAGTGACTGTATGTAATTTAATGTTAAACGTGGTGGATATGAATCCTTGCGCTATTTCAAGGTCAGGCAGTATTGTGCCAACAAAACATATATGAATAAAAATAATAGGCATTATTAAGACCGAGTCTAATGAATTCATTAAATTCCTGTAAAACGTTTCAGCTCAGTTTTCTATATACAGGGTTACGGACCATCAGAATCACATTGGGAGATATAAGATTGATAAGTAATTAATCTACATTGAAAATAAAGGGGTGAATGCTTTTCAGGTCATGTTCCCTTTATTTATTTTAAAATTTTCATTTAATTATCAGTTTAACTTCTTCCAATGTAATTCTGGTGGTACCACATCCACGAATGCTGAATAAATATTCAGCTGATAAGAATCAGTTTCTGCATAGATGACAACACACTTCCACACTCGCAGTCCACCGTACGTTGTAATGCACCAGTCATATATTTAGCCATTTCATATATTTTCATTATATAGTTATTCTCATAGATGAACTGTCTTGTCTCATTTTTGTCGTTAGCTGTTCGTTATTCTTTGTAGTCTTTTAAGACTGTAGTCTATCTGCGTGGTTTTGGGTGGTTAATTAGCTGCCTTCAGAAGGTTGGTCTTTAGTGCGTTACCTAACACGGCTGTTCTGATTGCGTGTCTTGGTGGCTTTAAGTTAATTACTTCACTTGTATGCATGTGCCGGAGAAAACACGGATTGAAACCTCAAGATACTATAGTTTCGGTTAGTAATACCTGTTGTGTGTTTCGTTACAATGTATGAATGTCGAAAACGCCAACAGAAAACTTTCAGTATGGCCTTATGAGACGAAGGTTATTCTGTTCCAACCCAGGTTGCTAGAAATAGTCATGCAGCTAACAGAAAATGACGAAATGCAGTAAGACGAAGATAGTTGTTAGGGGAGGGGGAAGAGCATAGTATGCTTTGTAAGTGTAAGCTACCGCTAGTTCCAGTCTACCAACACCTTGAAAGTTGGCTGTATCGCTGAGTACTTAAAAGAAAAGTGTTCGTACTGCACAACCAAAAATGTATTATATTTGTTACTATCGTTCCCTTGGGTTCCGAGGGGAACATAGGGCTTTAACGGCTCATGCCCATTTAATTCTGTTTTTGCAAGCCTTTTTAGCTGGCTCGTCCATCACCCATAAACTCTCATACATATTCCTCATACAATCTCCATTTCAACCTCAGGCAGCCAACTAACTTTTCCATCACTCGAGAGCCAGGCGTGCGATGTCACTCACACATTATTATTATTTTTTTTTATTATTTTGATTACATCTTGATTCCACACCGTATTTTCAGTACAAGTATGGAATTTTCAGCATGGATATCGGTAGCCCAAATTTACAGGCCGACCATAGATATCGGGTGTGCGTCGACAGGGGATCGAACCCCGGACCATGTGCATGGTGGGCGAGAGTCCTAACCACTGTGCCACCGACGCACACACACATTCCTCTTAGCGTGTATCTCCGGTTCATCTTCATTTCCTGCGGCATATTTGTCGGGCAGTAAGTTTTTAGTTAGTTCGTTTTCAAAGTCCCTTGTTGCTAGTCCCCTCTGGCGGGCCATCTTATACTCAGTGTGGACCGAAGATGTTCGTTGATCAGAGTCTTTAGACTGTTTAGAATGCTTTACGTGACATGTGTGCCAATTCTCAGAATCATATAAAAGCATTGACACGGACTTGACGTCAGTGTTCAAAATCTGAATTTCCTTCTTTATGTTGATTGCAATAGATTTCAAAACTGATTTCTAAGTGATGAACGTCTGTCTTACTTTTCTGATCCTGCCTCTGATATTCTCATCTGCACCACTTTTAGTTCAAATAATACTGCTCAGATAAATGAAAAAAGTGGTGACCTCCTTCAAATTTCTTCCGTTGACAGCTATTGCTACATGTTGCTGGTTAGTTACTTTCATCGCCTGTCCTCCCTGTGTTCACCTGAAGTCCTGTCTTCACTGCTTCTTCTGCCAACTCGTGTTGGTTTTCCCTTGTAGATCTTCGAGTTTGTGTCCAGATCTTTTACAGTCTTGTTATTAGTCCAAAGTATTCTTGTCTTCTGGCTTCCTCCCACGGTCTGTTACATTACCCAGTCCACCACAATCAGGAATATCATCAGTGATAATAGGTAGCCATGTCTTACGCCTGACTTCATTTCACAGTTTTCGCTGAGATTTCTGCTATGAATCCTTTGGCATGTAGCATCATACTATGTAGCTGTTAACTGAGATTGATAATGGTGTGGGTTAATTCGTAATGTTGGTAGTTTGACAAGTCAGTGCTTCATCTGATGGATGGGTACTTTTCCTTCCTCCCAAACCTTCTGCTATAGTCGAGTCAGGATATCCGCTGAGGTCCGTTTTCATTGCTTCCAGTAGAATGGCGACTGGTCCTGCTGGCCTCAAGTAGCTTTACAGCATTCAAGATTTTCGCTCTTGTGCGTGGATTGGTGTTCATTGACAGTTCTGTGCCTTCTGTTGGTGGTATTTGTGGACGAGTTGCAAGTGGTGGTTGGTTCAGCTCAGAGTTTCATTTGTTTCTCTTTTTTGATGATTAGCCACCTGGTTATCTGATATAGTGTTCTGAGGTCTCTCCCAACTGAGGCCTGTTCTGTATCATTTGTTAGTGTGTCGTACAGTTGACTCTGTCTTGAAATACTCTCCTTTACTCCTTTGTTCAGTGCGTTGTAGATTATATTCCTCCTCTCCTTTCTTTGGCCGTCTTTTCATTAGTCCATCCTCTATTTCACAATCTCTATCTCCTATATTAGCTTCCATGTTTTCACAGAGAGCCGTTCCTTGTCTTTCCTCTTCTTCCTTCCCAAGACATCACTTTCAGATAGTTCAAGTGTTCTTCCATACAGGTTTCCTTTGTAGTGCTACACAATGTCTGCGACTTTGCTGTGATGGCTGCAGTGAAGATGTTCTTTGTAGTTTCATCCTTCAGTTTCTGAGTATCTATCGAGCTTGCATTGTGGTCTATCTCTAGTTGCTTTGAAGGCATACAACTTGATCTTCAAGGTTCCCTGCACTAGATAATGATCTAATCCCACATTTACTCCTCTTCTTAATTTCGTGTTTAGCAGACTGCGACTCCACTTTCATGATCAACATTAAGATGAAGTGTATCTGATTTTCGGTGTGTCTGTCAGGCGAAATCCATGTCTCCGACCTTGTATATATCCTTGTGCTTGTACACGCTACCTCCAGTTACCAAACCATTGAGGTGGAGACGTCTGCAAGGAGTCCTCCGTTCGCATTCATCTCGTCAAGAGCCTTCCACAGGTTGTATAGATGAAATGTTCTTTATATGTTTAATCGCACAGCCTTTTGCATTTCTTCATCATCGCTAATATGGAATCCGAGTCATATCTTCTGAGAAGCTGTGATGTTCAGATATTTTAGTCAGTCATACCAACCATCTTGGTCGTTTCTATTTGGTTAATTACAAGCAACAACGTAGCAGCTTGATACCTTTTCTGTTCACACTCGGTGGTTTTTAGAATTATCTAACTTTGAATCTTTACTAGTGAAAAGATCTCGGGTATTAGTGTTTTTTTCGTCACCGGTAGTCTGAAATCCATCCAATTTTGAATCGCTCGTTGAAACATGGACATCCAGGAGGATGGTCATTGTTTCGGAGTAACTTCTATTCTTTAAGTAAACTTAAAGTTGCCTCAAAGAGACTTGTAGACTACTGATTCTCACTGTCAACTTCTTGGCATGTTTTGTGCAGCTCATGCCTAGTAACACCAAGCAATCATATCTAAAGTATGTTTGTAGTAAACTTTGTGACTCATAATATCCAATAAAACTATGTTGTTCTTCGATATTACTGTTCTTTTTGCCTCAGATCTCTGTTTACTGTCTCTATTGTGCGTTTCTTTTTACTTTCTTCTTCTCTGGCTTTGTGTGCTGAGTGAAGTGTGGCGACTCGAACTGCTGCACATCGGTGCAAAGTTCTATGTTGAAACCAGACAGACAGAGACGCTTTGTGAAAGATACATAGTTTCTTTGAAAAGTCTAACTTGAACACTGAGTGTTTTTGTCTTTAAAAGGTGATCATTTTTCCCACTTGTGAATGGGAGATCCGATGAATTATTCCCTGTGCCTATCTCCTGTCGTCTCCCATTGACGATAATTTCCTACTCCTTATTTAGTCTGTTTTTTTATTGTGCTTCATCTATTGACACATGAAAATTCGTCTTTCCCCGAAAGTAACAGTCAATACCTTTTAGATGTTGACACTGATCGTTCAATGTATGCGGTGATAATACAGAAAACTAAGTGTCCGCTATAGCGATTCCTTGTGAAACACTTCCTGTATTGATACACTTTAGGAAGGATGATTTTCCAGTTATTGGTCGTGTATGGGAACCCTCACAACTCTTTAAGTACTTGATGCAAAGGGGTTCTAGTTTTGTTTTTTATGTGTGCGATGATGTAAATCACGAATTGGTAGAAGTTAGAATTCACGCACTGGCTATTGAATCAGGCGGGTCCCAGTGGCTGAATGGTATACGAGCTAGCTTGCCTTGTAACCGGAAGGTCCTGGGTTCGAACCCGTGTAGTGGGTGCGTACTGCCGATGATTCCCAAACTACGATGAAACAGCTGTCCAGTACTCCAGTACTGGTTTTCAATGTTTCTCTAACTGATATCAATCCGTGGTCAAACTCGTAAAAACAAAACTAATCCTTACAAGCCAACCATAGTAAATGATAATGATTTGTATATAATAGTATAACTGAAACATTGCTTTCCAGCAGTTGCCTAAACTTTGCTTTTATTCTGTTTTCTCTATTGTTGTAGTGTTGTGATCACATAGTTTGTCTGCAAATCCTACCTTTCAAGTTACAAAGATAATCCGCGTGATTATCAATCAGTTATTTGCGATACTAAATTTGTTATGTACACACTATTACGTGGTTTGTGGCGTTATCTATCACAAAAGGATGAATTTTCTGTCTTGATCTTGGGATTAGATGGTGCCGGGAAAACAGTAATTCTGTGAATGTTTTTGTTTCTATAAACAAATAAAAATGAATTCAGACGTATCTGGAGCAAGCTAAAATCAATTTTGTTCCAAATTACAAATCAATTCCAATGCAAAAGATCACCACTACTGTCGGTTTAAACAGTATGTTCCTTATACGCTTATATTTTCTTCAGTTGGATTTATCGAGGTCGATGGGATTCGACTTAAGTTTTGGGATCTTGGTGGGCAAGAGGAACTTCAGTCCTTATGGGACAAGGTTAGCATAAATTCTCACTCACTTTTCCGAATGCTTATCAGTATTATGCTGAGTCAAACGGTATTATTTTTGTCGTTGACTCTGCAGATCCTGAACGTTTTGAGGAATCAAGAGATGCTTTTGGTAAGTGTGTTTTTGTCATTATTATTATTATTCCACTTAGATAAAATGGTTAGGAATCCTGTGCTGGATGGTGTACCTTTACTTGTTTTGGCCAATAAACAAGATTTGAAGGTATGTCAGTTGTTAGTGATTTTCGTTGTTGTTGTTATTCTGAAAAACAGAAATAAAGCTATAGGAACCAAAATAAAAACCGACATTATTTATTATTATTATTGTTTCCTTTAATTCCTAGAGGAACATAGGGCTTCAGCCTTGCGTCTCCATTGTGTTCGGTTCTCTGCTAGAGTCTTCACCTGGCTCCAAATCTGTCCACACGTTTTCATCTCCTCTTCATATGACCTCCTTCAAGTCACCCTTGCACTGACGAACAAGTCGCCGCTTCCCTTTCGGGTTCCACTCAAGGGCTTGTCTAGTGATGTCACTTGATGGTTTCCTCAGAGTATGGCCAGCCAATCCATCTCCATTTCTTCCTGCCTATTTGTTTCACAATCGGTTCCTGCTGGGTTGGTTCGCTCATTGCCAGAGATCCCTCCCTGTTGCTGATCTTTTCTGGTCGGCCATCTGATCTTGAGCGAGTATTGAGCGAAGACAACTGTTAATGAAGGTCTGTAGTTTGTTTGAGATGCTCTTTATGACGCGCAGTGCAAGTCTCTGATCCGTATGTTGAGTAGCACTGAATTCATATTGGAGTTGAAAATCCGGATTTTATTTTTCATGTTGAGTGCTGTTGACGTCCACACAGACTTGAGAGTAGTGAAAGCTTGTTTTGCTTTTCCGATTCTTACTTTGATATCCTCGTCAGTTCCGTCTTTCTGTCGTTGAAACAATGCTTCCCAGGTCGGTGGGTAGGTAAAGGAGGTTGTTTCTTTCAGGCTCCTCCCATTTATGCTGATCGTTGTCTGTTTTTGTTGTTCTTCTCCAATAATCTTCATTACCTCTGTTTTCTCTATGTTCACCTGAAAGAAGTTCTATCTTTGAAGCTTCTTCTGCTAACTTGTTACTTTTCGCTTGCATATCTTCCAGTTTGTGGGAAATCAGACATATATCATCGGCGAAGTCCAGATCCTCCAAGTTTTTGGTGTGAGTCCATTTTATGACTGTTTCCTCATTGCCCGCTGTTTGTCGCATAATCCAATCTACTGCAATCAGGAAAATCATTGGCGATAGTAGGCAGCCAGCTTGTCTTACTCCTGTCTTCACTTCGAAGGATTCCGTGAGCTTCCCGTTGTGAATTACTTCGCATGAAGCCTTGTCGAACACCTGTTGGATGAGATGTATAATTGTCTGTGGCACCCCGTAGTTGCGAAGTAGTTGCCAAATCACCTCTCGATCGACGCTGTCGAAGGCCTTTTCAAAGTCGATGAAGTTGAGATAGAGAGGTGACTGCCACTCCAAGCTTTGTTCAATGATGATCCGTAGTGTGGCGAATTGATCGACGCATGACTTGTTCCTCCTGAATCCAGCCTGTTCCAGTCGAAGTTTTTCATCCAGGGCATGTTTGATTCTCTCCAGGATGATGCGGCTTAGTATTTCCTTGGGATGGACAGGAGCATAATTCCGCGCCAGTTCTTGCATTGACTTAAGTCTCCTTTCTTTGGTAGTTTGAATAGGTATCCTTTCTTCCAATCCTCAGGTACTTTGCCTTCTTTCCACACCTTCTCCAGTAGTGGCGTCATCAAGTCCGCTGTTGTCTCTGGGTCCATTTTCAATGCTTCTGCTGGGATTCCATCTGGTCCTGCTGCTGCGTCGGTGGCATAGCGGTTAGGACGCTCGCCGATCACGCACATGGTCCGGGGTTCGATCCCCGGCCGACGCACTCCTCTGCCAAAAATAATGCTGGTGAAGAGGAAAGTTTGGGCATGAGGCTAGCAACCCCACCCTGCAAAATAAGCACTGCTACAGAAACTTCAAGCCACTAGCTTGAAGCCCTATTTTCCACTGGTAACGTGAAGGAAAAAAACCCGACATAAACATTGTTTTATATAAGAAGATATTTTTCGGTTTATTTTCATCATAATTCAATTGAGAGATGGAATAAAATTCAAGCTTTCAATGCTGTCCTACATAGTACCTCATTAGGGTAAAAAATTCTATGGCTAGTTCTTCTGGATTGCTTGGTATATTTGAACTCCAGAATAGAAAATTCTGTACTTGACTGGATTCCGGTGGACAGTCGTCTGTGCGCTGTCTAGCTGAATGGCGATACGTGAGAATATGAGGGAGAAGATTGTTATAGCCGTCAATGTCTTATCGTAATAACTGCTTTCACACCCATTAATTGGAGGAATCAAAGGATGAGGTTTAGTAGAAGCTGTCTAGCTTTTCGCTTAGATAAATTTTCTTCAGCAGATGATTTTAATATTCCTGTTGGGAAGTTAGTTGATCTGTGCGATGAGTATTATTATTATTGTTCCCTTGGGTTCCTAGTGGAACATAGGGCTTCAACTGCACGTCTCCACTTGCTTCTGTCTTGTGCTGTACTTTTCACCTGCATCCATGTTATTCCATACTGTTTCAGTTCCTGTTCACACGATCTCCTCCATGTCACCCTTGGACGTCCCACTCTCCACTTCCCTTTCGGGTTCCACTCGACTGATGGCCTGACGCGCGATGTCACCCAGCGGCCTCCTCAGCGAGTGTCCAATCCATCTCCACTTTCTCCTGCATATTTGTTTGGCGATTGGTTCTTGTTTTGTTTGTTCCCATAGTTTCTTGTTGGTTCTTGTTCTTTCTGGCCATCTGATCTTCAGTATAGAGCGAAGACAGTTGTTGATAAAGGTCTGCAACAGGCTGTTGGAAATATTCTTTGTGACCCACTGGCCAAGTTTCTGATCCGTATAGAAGAACTGACTGACTTGACGTTTGTATTGAAAATCCGAGTTTTGTTGTTGATGCAGACTGAGTGACGAAGATTTCCAGATTGCTTTCAGGTTGATGAATGTGTTTCTCGCCTTCCCGATTCTCGATTTGACATCCTCGTCCATTCCTGCTGTAGTTGAGACAATGCTCCCTAGATAAGTGAATGAAGTAACCTCTTTCAAATCCCTCCAGTTGATGGTGATTGGCGCTGTATGTTGCTGCTGTTGTTGTTGTTGGTTGGTTGGTTATTTTCCCAACCTCCGTCTTGTCTATGTTCACCTGGAGTCCTGTGTTTACTGCTTCTTCGACCAGTTTGTCGGCTTCCGCTTGTAAGTCTTCGATTTTGTGTGACATCAAACATAAATCATCCACACGCGACATCCAGGTCTTCTAGATTGTTCACGTCGGTCCAGGATATCCCTGTCTTCTCGTTTCCCACTGTCTGACGCATAATCCAGTCCACCACAATTAGGAATATCATTGGTGATAATAAGCACCCTTGTCTGACTCCTGTGTTTACTCCAAACACCTGGCTGAGTTTTCCGTTGTGGATCACTTGACATGTGCCGTTGTCGTACAGCTGTTGAATAAGGTTGATGAATATTTGGGGTACGCCGTAGTACTCGAGTAGTTTCCAAATTACTTCACGGTCAACGCTGTCGAAGGCCTTCTCAAAGTCTATAAAGTTGAGGTAGATGTTTGATTGCCATTCCATGCTTTGTTCGATGATGATGCGTAGAGTCGCAATTTGGTCAGAACATGATTTGCCTTTCCTGAATCCAGCTTGTTTTGGTCGGAGTTCTGCATCCAGTGCGTCCTTTATTCTCTCCAGGATAATGCGACTCAGAATTTTACTTGGCGTCAACAGGAGCATGATTTCTCGCCAGTTCTTGCAGAGTCCTAAGTCGCTCTTCTTTGTTAGTTTCACAAGGTAACCTTTCCTCCAGTCAGTAGGCACCTTTCCCTCCTTCCAGATCTTTTGCAATAATGGAGTCAGCATATCTGCTGTCGTCTCTGGGTCCGCTTTCAGTGCTTCAGGGGGTATTCCACCTGGTCCAGCTGCTTTTCCAGCTTTCAGAAGCTTGATTGCATTCAAGACTTCAGCTTTCGTTGGAGGATTGGTGTCAACTTGCAGTTGTGTACGCGCTGTTGTTGGTATTTCTGGACGAGTTGTAGGTGGTGGTCGGTTCAAGAGTCCTTTGAAGTGATTCGCCCATTGTTTAATCTGTCTTTCTTCCTTGGTAATTAGGTTCCCTTGGCTGTCTTTTATAGGTTCCACTTGTGTTGATCTCTTCCCGGATAGAGACTTGGTTATCTGATATAATGTCCTCAGGTCCCTTTTGCCTGCTGCCTTCTCAGCTTCAGTGGCCAGATTGTCGTAGAATTGTCTTTTGTCCTTCCTGGCACTCTTCTTCACTTCTTTGTTCAGTGCTATGTAAGTTGAACTCAGCGTCTCCTTCTCTTGTCCGTCTTTGCATTGAATCATTTTCTCTTTCACCATTCTCCTCTCCTCTATTAGCTTCCAAGTGTCCGTTGAGATGTGCGATGAGTGCGTTAGGGTTATTTATGCATAAAGTTCCGTACCAACAAATCCACAGCTATATGGCCATCTTTTACAATTGCAGTCAGTTAACTATCTGTTCTAGAACGTGATGTCAAGGACTGGTGAAAATTATTGATTATCTCAATTTAAAATAAAAAGGGAAACAAGTGTTCTTGTGATAATCGTATGGAGATCAGCTTGATTAACATTTTATCAAAAAGTCAAATTCACAGTTTGTAAATTTCACGAATTCATGAAAACCAGACAAGTTTCATGCCCGTCTGAAGGTGTATTGATCATATCTTTGCGCGTTGACAGATTCCTGGTACTTACCGGCACCTAATACTCGTCACACTTATCTTAACCTGAATACGATATTCGATTCTGTCGATGGAGAGATGCTGTGACCAATGTGTGATGGTGAAGAGGGTACTAAGAAGGTATGTATCACACTAATCAAGACACTCTCTTCGAACTCAAGCAGACCTGTTACAGCTTATCGATAATTGTTATCTGATGTGATGACATCTAGTGGTGTCCATCAGGGATGCCTACTGTCCCCATTTTTGGTGTACTGATGGATGTTATCCTAATCAAATTTAACGAATTAGGGACTGACTTATTACCAGGGAACAGTCTTGTTAATGTAGTCTTTTTAGGTGATGACATTGACAAATTACAGAGTCTTCTGAACACAGTGGGCTGAAAT